GGGAGGCCGCCTCGGCGGGGGCCCAGGTGGCACCTGCTCATTTGCCACCCTGTTAAATCCGCCACTGGGTCTACGCTCGGAACGGCAGGCCCGAAGAGTCAGAAACATGAAAAGTATTGTCCATCACGATTTAAGTTTGTCGCATCGAGGATAGTGATGTCGCTAATAATTTGGATGATTGGAACATTCATTTAAATGTTTTAGCTGAAGGTAGGTATAAAGACATAACTTAATTTTAATTTATGAAAATATTTTATTATACAAAAAATTCATACCACATGTCTCCCGCTGTTTGAAATACATATTTCTATGCGTTTCATAAATTCTTTCTCCACGTTTATTAATACATCCCTTGGAATACTTTCACATGCAGTTTTAATTCTTTCTTTTAAATCTGCGGTACTTCGTACTGGTGTTTTGTAAATTTGTTGTTTAATATAACCCCACAGAAATTTTGAATGAATGATCGAAAGTGAATATAAGACTACTGCACAGTTCAAAGATCTGACGAGTTCTGATTCAAATACTGTTTTCCACTTTTTGAAGGAATCTTTCAGAAGATATGATTGGTTTCTTTCGAAACAAAGAAACTTCTTCTATTGGTTGGAAATGTCTAAAGAAGTAGTAAACTGAAGGGAATGAAAAATTCGCAAGGACAAGGAATATAAAATTGATTCATAAGAGAACTCATAAAACGTATTAAACAGTGTATTTCAATATATTGCAGCGGAACAGCAAACTCATAAAAGACCAGCGGGTCTAATTAGGTATTTTCGGGAAAGTTGGAATTTTTATTAGCGGTAAAATGTAATAGATGTATTATTTATGTTTGGCATGGTCCAAGTTTTTCCATCATACAACAAGAGTTATAAAACACCGCTACAAAGCACTGCAGACTTAAAGCTGTGTGTGAAAATATTCCAACGGACATTCTAATAAACGTGGAAAAGAAACTTGTAAAACGAATTGAAACATGTATTTCGAATAGCAGGAGACACGTAGAATAAATTTATTGTATAATAAAATTCAGCTAAAACATTTAAATAAATGTTCCAATCATCCAAATTATTAGCGACATCACCATCCTCGATGCGACAAACTTAAATCGTGATGGACAATACTTTTCATGTTTCTGACTCTTCGGGCCTGCCGTTCCGAGCGTAGACCATTGCTATCGGTTTCAACAGGCGGAGTCAAACAGCGCAACAATAGGGCCGCTTTTATGACTTGCCACTCAATCCGAGACGTCTTCGCCGAAAATCAGTAAATTTCCAAGCGCTATATCTTGAAAACTAATGAAAATCGGGTAAATAAATTGCAGGTTAATGAATTCGTATTGAAAAACACTATCGCATGATCCAAAAAAAAATATATAGTTCCATTTAAAAAACGAAACTTCATCATCGTATCTTTGAAATTAATAACATAAATAAAATTTCCGTTTACGCCAGAATAAAGATCCTATTTTATCCTGCAATTTTTATATAAACAATTTTTCCGTATCATCAATAGTTATTGCAGTATCGCGACTGTCACACTTTAGCTGGGACACCCTGTATGTAAACAAGAAAGGAAGAATTACCTCTCATATTCATTCTGTATTTATTTATCGGAGTATAGCTAACTTTATTTAATACTACATTCAATTATGAAATTAATAACAATTTGTTCCAGATTGATCATATTAATATCGTGTTATTTAAATACTCGCAATGAATACGGTTGAACGATTTGATGAAGATAGATATACAGGGTGTTCGGCCACCTCTAGCAAAAATTTTAATGAGCGATAGTAGAGGCCAAAATAAGACGAAAATCAAGAATACTAATTTGTTGATGGAGGCTTCGTTGCAAAGTTATTAACATTTAAAGTTGCGCCTGTAGAATGACAATCCGCTTAACAGCTGGTTCGCGCGGACGGTTGCGGCAGGCGAGGGCTAGTGGTTCTCACGCAGCATGAAAAATTCTGCTTACCGACATTATCGACAGCCTTAGATTTTTGTCCACTTATGGGAATGCGAACACCTTACGTTGAATAAGATTCAACCTGTCTTATGAAAATCCAGAAGGGCATATCAAAACTCGTCCGACGAGATTTTCACAGAGAAAGGGTGAATGCCAGTTCCAATACACAATGTTGTGAACAAAAATCACCCACATGCGATTATACACGCCCCACGATTGTCCACAGTGTCCACAAGTATCCACAAATAATCCTTTCAGGCACTAACCACTATGCAATTAAATAAACACGTACCGCGATTATGTTATTCGTGAATGTCTACGTGTACGTGTATCACGATTCTTCCGAGTTACTTACGAATAAAACTGTTATTAATTTTTCAAATACACTTCAATTTAAAAATGTAAAAAGGAATCGCAGGATAAATGAAATTTTCGCATCGATTTACGTTCACGGCGAAGAATGTAACAATACTAGCAGCTGACTGTGCCATCGATCGACGAGGTTCAGAGAAACATATGCCGAACAGGCCCCGATTCTACGTCACTCGCCTCGCTTATCTCTCTCACACACAGCGGAGACAAAGGGCAGCATCGGCACGTGTTCGGCCAGCTAGTCAGTCGTAAAACAGTATCAGTCAAGCTAGTTCACGCGACACATTTCAGTTATGTATTAAGTAGCATGTAAGAAATACAGTGATATAAACAATCAGCGAATACTTATTAAATTCCTGTTTACATTTTTAAATTGAAGTGTATTTGAAAAATTAATAACAGTTTTATTCGTAAGTAACTCGGAAGAATCGTGATACACGTACACGTAGACATTCACGAATAACATAATCGCGGTACGTGTTTATTTAATTGCATAGTGGTTAGTGCCTGAAAGGATTATTTGTGGATACTTGTGGACACTGTGGACAATCGTGGGGCGTGTATAATCGCATGTGGGTGATTTTTGTTCACAACATTGTGTATTGGAACTGGCATTCACCCTTTCTCTGTGAAAATCTCGTCGGACGAGTTTTGATATGCCCTTCTGGATTTTCATAAGACAGGTTGAATCTTATTCAACGAAAGGTGTTCGCATTCCCATAAGTGGACAAAAATCTAAGGCTGCCGATAATGTCGGTAAGCAGAATTTTTCATGCTGCGTGAGAACCACTAGCACTCGCCTGACGCAACCGTCCGCGCGAACCAGCTGTTTAGCGGATTGTCATTCTACAGGCGGAACTTTAAATGTTAATAACTTTGCAACGAAGCCTCCATCAACAAATTAGTATTCTTGATTTTCGTCTTATTTTGGCCTCTACTATCGCTCATTAAAATTTTTGTTAGAGGTGGCCGAACACCCTGTATATATCATTGTTACAGGAAATTATTTTTGTATTTGCAAATGCCATTTGCAGTTAAAAGCAATAAAAAATCATTAAATTTTTTTGCAGGTATAAAAGATTGCAATGTAATATCGCCAATGAATAGAAATCGACGAAATCATTAAACGGTCGTACAATTATCATTTAAAATTAAAATGTTTTCTTCAAGTGTAACGGTGACTAATTTTTTGTTCATGAAAAGTGCATCATTTATTTTGATTAGTATTAAAGATGTTATTAATTTACTAAACTATATTTGACAAAGTAAAGAACAATAATATAATTTTTAGTTATGTAAGATGTTCACGTCATTACTGATCAGCGCTGTTTTCTGAAAAAGTTCTGATTGGCTGCGGCTGGCTTCTTGCACTATCATATAATTCGCGACATTTTACATACAAAATACATACAAATACAAAACCTTGTACGAACAACACACATGATGGCACATCGCACAACGAACGAGAGAGAGTTCACGGATCTACAGTCTACAACACTCAACAACTTGCATATCAGCAGACGTGCGAGAAGCGTTACAGCGGTGTAACACATTGTACCCAAGTGCTCAACAGTTTTAATAATCCAAAATATGATGCACAATATAAGGCGGCCTTAATAACTCGCTCTCATTCGAAGAAAAAAACAATAGAAAACAGTCACACACTCGGTACTAAACCCACAAACGGGCTACTGTATCGATAAACGAGATATGGTTTTGAACAGTCGCCTCGTGCTAAAAATCTCAGTAAAAGGCGCTATTCGCAACGTATTTATTGACACTCGTTAAATACGCAAATATGATCCAAGTTATATCGTGTTTGGTCGTATTTTAATCAAAGAAACCTCGCAAATATATTAGTAAAGCTCCCATTAACAAAAAATAAAAAATAAATAAGGTTCATATTGTGTTATTCTCCGTTCGTTGTCTTTTTCCACGCTCGGTAAGATACAAGGGCAAACGCCGTAGCTCGGTTTGTGCTTTTCTGGGAACTGAAAATCAACCATGCTTTCATAACTGCGAGACTTCAATCCTGTATTCATTGCAGTTATCCCAGATTTGCTGTATTTGCAACCGTATTTTGCTTTTAAAATAATATCTATACTACTTGTCATGCTATTTACCCACGTTTTTCAATATTCTGCTTCAATATTTTCCCATTTTACTCGCATTCACAGCAAGATTATTTTATGTCCTCTATTACACCCTCACAGCAATTGCATTTGAATAAAATCGTGCAGTAGGACAGTTCTTCCTGTAGACATCCCTAGAACGTGATATTCTCTTTCAAATCTTGAGAGATTGGTCTCATTTTACTCTATGAAAATTCATGTAAAAAAATGACAATAATGATTTAAAATATCTACTATATGGTTTTCTTAAATACATTTAAGCTTCTTACCTGCTACAGAACTGATAACGAAGCGAATATTTTTTGAAAATATAATGGAAATATCTAGAATTGCAATACCAGAACTCAATAATCGCTGCAACCTACAAAGTTCAAGTTGGACGCGTGAAAGATCCAACAGAATTGAATACAGAGATTTCAAATATGTAATTCATGCGATATAAGCAGATATAGTAACAATATTGTTTGAAGTTTACATCGAATGTTCAAGTTGAAGAAAGCCAAACTTCTTTTTCCTTAAATGTGAAGGTATGTGAACGAAGTAGTGAGTCACTGTATAAATCGATTATAAGTATATCGGTTAGTTTTTGTTTAATATTTTTCTTTTTTTTTTATTTGAAATCCTCAGATAAAGTTCATATATGTATACAGTGGTATGTATGTTTACGTATACAATTATATCCGCAGTTTACATTCTGTTAAAAAATTAAAAATACATAGGCAAGCTGTAATATTTGGTTCAGCAACTAGCGATTCAATATTAAGTAGGAGAAACAGTTTCATATTTTGGAGCTTTTCAATTAACTTGACCCTTAAACTGTCATAGAGCCTGCATTGCTAAACCAGATGATTGATGTCTTTGATTTCATGGTTGCATTTACATATAGGATCGCTTATTATCTTAATGCGGACGAGGGAGACAGCATGATTATAGTGCCCAGACTTAATACGGTTTTTTGTGACAATAAATTCTCTTCTGTGTTTACCCCAATAATACCAAGGTCTGCTACTGCCATTGAAATATAATTGAAAGTATTTCATCCCTTTAAAGGCACGCTGGCCTTTGATTATACTCAGAGTGTTCAAGTTATACGAGTGTGTAGCTATTTTGGCCAAATTATTGAGTTTCTCATTATCAAGAAGTGCTATATGCGACGGCACCCAGATAAATTTAAAAAAGCTATTATTTCTTATTGTTGTGAATAAAGTCATTACACTTTTTAGAGCACTAAGAGCGCCCTACAGAGCTTGCAATTCTTGTTTAATATAAAATGTTTAATGTACAATAATAAGACACTAAAAACTATATTTGAAATGGTAATTATAGATAACCTGCCTATATTTATAATTGAATTCTTAGAGAATATTAATATTAGAATAGCAACACACGAAACTCTAAATAAATCAGAAACCCTTTTTTATTATCTATAAAATAAAACTTGTATGCGAACCTTGTGATACTGTTTATTCCTTTCAGTATGTCATGATCTATTTGAAAAAGTAACACTGTAACAAACGAAGACCATGCAAACCTGTATAAGTGGGTTTGTAGTTATAAATTAAACTTGAAATTTCTTCCTGCTCGGATGAAAATGTGTGGCAATTCTTGCGCGCTGCACATAAAAGTATTTTATTAAATAACTAATTCACTGCGGTATAAATCTGTCGAAATTTTTGAAGAACACACATACCTTCGTTAACGAAGAAATTGCCAAAATATTCAGCAATTAGAACAGCATTTGCCGAATGTGGATACCCGTGGCCAATTTTCCACTCGTATAGATTTTTTTCTGGATGAAATTGTAAGCCGTAAAAAGGATAATTAACTGATTCCAACGAGGAAATGAATTCATTTTCTTCCTTATCATGATTCACAGATAATATCCGGAATTTATTAAATATTTTGGCTCTCTTTAAGTCCTGTAATTACGCATTATATTTATATTTGCGATATTGATTGCAGAGATAAGATGATACTTCTATTAAAAGGAGCTTCTTGTTTAGAATTTCAAAACTATCTATTTTTTCCACTTATATATCCTTAAAGCTTCAGAATTTACCGGGCATTCGTTTATCCAACTAGGAGTCTATACGAGCCGGTTAAAAGGGTGTCTCCAATATTGGTTTTTGATGAAGGACTATGAACAGTGGCATCTTTTTTTAGTTTTGGATTAACAGAATTTGGAAAAATCAGAAACGTCATTATAAACTAGGGTCATTCTATGCGAAATCAGACACTTCATGGAATAAGATTTCAAATTATCTCAACTTTGGATATGTTGTAGTACTTAGCAATGTTTAAACGTATCTCAAAGAATTATTCAAAATTTTGTAAACTGTTGAAGTTACAGATGTGTAAAGTGTAAAGAGTGTTACCTTTTTTTCAAAAAATCTATAGCTGAGGAACTAACAAATGGATTAGAATGTGCTTTTGGCTGCTTGTAGCGAAGAGATTAGAGTACCAAATGAAAACAGTACTGACTAAAAGAAATTGTTTTTCGCCACTTTTTTTTTTAAATTGTTTGAAACAAATGTCTTGTTTTTGTACCGAAGTAATGTACAAAAATTTGGAAAAATGGCAACATAGCCCCATTTGTCCTCTTGACGGATATCTTTTCGAAAACATGGACACTTTACAATTGGCCCTATGGAAATTAATTTCGACGAATTCAGCCACTGTTGAAGAAGTGTCCGATTTCGCGCGAAATGCCTCAGTAGTATTTCTCGTAAAAAAGAGATCGTGTTTTCTTAAAATACGTATAAATAAATATGCGAAGTTTAAAAGTGCTATAATACTCATCAACGTTTAAAATAAAATTCACGAAGAAGTGTCTCTTTGTAGCATTCTAAACCAGAAGATCTCCTTAAAAACTGAAGAATTAAAGAATACAATTTACATTCTGTGTAACGCAAAAGTGATGACTATTCGCAGTCACTCTTTTAGTGGCCAATATATTTTTAATGTCTACCGAAGCGTCCGCGAACATTTTACTTGAATTGTATCCTGAAATGTATAAATGTCGTTAAGACTATAAAGCAAAATGTACACACAACACATTAATGAAGTGGAGTAAGTGAATAAAATAAAGTTTATGTGTACCACTATTTGAAACTATTGTTTTATTAATGAGTTAGAAAAATTGTCTGCATAATATCAAAAGAGTCTTTCTTTCATTTCTTCCTTACTTTATTGCAACTATCGAACATCCACTTACTGCTGCGTTGTTCTTTAATATAATTAATATTTAGATACAATTTAATCAGATATTTGGGCCTTACTATATTATTAGTTGTCTATTTTGTCTCCTTTGTGTTCTGAACCGTCAAGATGAAACTTGTCTTACCAAAAAGACAATTGATTCGAACAAAGATTCATTATCTTGTTACGAGCGCGAGCGCGAGATCCTGGATTCGGTCGAGGGGCAGTACTCGACCGGTGGTTTTGGGTATGGTTAGGAAAAGAAAGGAGGTCCGGACGAACCAGGGGCTCTATACTCTGGGAGCCGTAGGTGGAGGTTACGTGGACGAACCAGGGGCTCTATACTCTGGGAGCCACGGGGTTAGATTTATAGGGAAAATGAATGGTTTCACGGACGAACCAGGGGCTCTATACCCTGGGAGCCGCTAGTAGGAGTGGACGAACCAGGGGCTTTATACCCTGGGAGCCACGTAGGTTTTTAGGATGTTTTAGGATCTTGCTCTCTGTCGTGATGGTACACCTCGAGCGGTAAAGGTGTACCGGGTTCGTGAGATACCCCTAGCCTTACGGTTAATATGGTTCAGGGTTGCTTTGCGTGAATAACACACGTAAGGAATAATAACTTGAGTATATATTTTTGACGATGCTCAAGTACAGCTATGGATTTACAAGAAGTTGTACAATTGCTAAATTGCCTCGAAGGCGAAAGATTTGTTATCGGCTTTTACGCGGCGCGTTCACGGGAGCTCTACTCGATTAATGGGCACTCACTGATAAACCGCTAAGGTAGATAGTCGTAGATAGTTGCTTGAAGGGGATTATAGCCCGATCTTGCCCTGAGTGTCACAGTAACGTCGTGCCAAGAGTTTAGGTAAAACTGAGCTCCCCGAGTAAGAAACCGCGGCCCTTATATAGTTGAAAATGCTCAGTACTAAGGCGGGGCATTACCATAAAAGGCAATGAAAATTGGGCCGGGTGTGTGCATACGGCATGAGTCAACCCCGTTCAAAGGGTTGCACGCTAGATGCTCGAGCCAACGCCCAAGTCACCAAACGTTTCAGCCCCATGCATGAATGATATGTAACAATCTATAGGAATGTTTTGCCATATAAATTTTTGTCAATAAGCTATTAGTTGAATAAATGTTCTTTTTAGATCACCAATAAAGTTGGCATTTCTCATGAAGGACGATTTATTTTTTATTTAGATAAGTTTTATTTACAAGTAAAATTTCCAAATTTATACAACCTCTCATATATATGTTATAGATCTAGGAAATGCATAAATTTTCAAATTTTTACATTTTCATGTATTTGTTGGAATTTATAAGATATATGTATTTCCATATGTTTATTAGTTTTCTGTGGATTTGTTATTAAAATTTGAAGATGTATTTTAAGTTTATAACAAATACATGAACAATTTGTACAAATTTGGAAATTTATGCTTTTTAGAACTTTTTCTCCAATCTAATAACATTTAACGTATAAATCGTAAAACTCTTGTCTTAGTTGTCAAATCCAAATTGTTACCAAATTGTGACAACTGGCTCATAGATGAATTACATTAAATCAATTAAAATTCATATAATGAATAAACTTATATTCTAATAAATCTGAGACGAAGAGCGCTGTAACTAGATTTGTTAGCGAATAAGAAATAATTATTCCTTTAATAAACCCGATAATATTTATTCGCAATTAAATTTTGTGATTTAGTTATCATTATTTATTCATTATTGAAGATAAAATTTTCTCTTGTATCGGTGTACTTACCATTCGTAAATTCAAGAGGAAGTGCTATATCTTCAGCGGAACATGGAGTTCTATGTTTCGTACGATTAGTGACGTCTGTGACGTATGTTAACAGTTCGAATCCTAAACATATCCCGAAGATTGGAAAATAGTCACCCTTATCATTCATTTCTTTTGCAATTCTGTTAATCAAACACAAAATGACTTTTCATACTGCTAATAAAAGTAAACCAGGATTTGTTATATCGACGCACAGGTATAAATGTAAATATACAGAAAAGTTTGTTACAACTAACAAGCGAATTACCTTTCAAAATTTGATATGGACTTAAAAATTTATTCTAGATATGAACGCACTGATTAAAACAGAAATTTATATTTTGTAATGAAATCAATTTCTTTACGAACAGAATAAATCCATATGAATATTTGCCCGCATTTTATAATGTGAAAGCTATACGAGTATATTTTATCAATATCTTGATATAAGATGTTCAAATGATACAAACATGACAAAGAACAGATATTTCATTGCTGCGCTTTCTATTTATTTACGTAAGTAGAATCATTTACTTCGCGGTTGTACTACTTATCGTTGGTGTTAATTATCCTATTGCCATTTCAACATTTATTTACTTGTAAATCGTGTTCCCTGCGTCAGCATATCCTTTCGAAGTATTGAATGGTGCGCTTCCACCGGGCCATAGAATTCTGTCGATAACATTGTAAAATAATCATATTCGAATCAGCATTATTTATCTACTATTTTCTTTCGTTTCAGCTCACCCATTTATTTGATTCATGATATTTCTGTAGTAAGATTCATCTTGTCCAATCCTACAAAGGATGTTTAATCCGTGGTTGAGACGGGCTCGTTCGGATATTACAAATTTGCACGTGGTGTGCCAATTAAACTAAGGTTCAAACGACCACCCCCTTGCAGGGAACTAACAAACGAATTAGGTTTCCTATGTTTATTAGAACTCAACAAAGACAATATACGTGACCGAGTCGAAGACGAATTGTTTGTTACTAGAGACGATCTACACTAATTCTAAAAGCCAAGTGCTCTAGTCGAAATACGAAGTGTTCGAGAATCTAAAATCAAGTGTTTGGTAGTCAAAAACAAAGTGCTTTGTTTCTAATGCGAAGTGTTCTATGTCTAAATGTGAACTATTTGAGTGCTAAGAATCAAGTGTTTGCTAATCAAAAACGAAGTGACGACGTTCCTTCGTTTTTCCAAGGCGTTGGTCTTTTGTACACTCTTCCACCAAGTGTTTCCGTGGTGGGGGTGCAATGATGCTAATGTAGCTTGGCGTCCGAGGTGGAGGGTGCTACGTTTGGTAACTCCGGGGATTTTCCACTATGTGCGTCGGTCCCTGGGCTCGCGTACAAAACTAACAAGGGAGGCCCAGGTATACGAATCCGAGCACAGGTGGGCCATCCGACAGTCCGCTGGTGTTGCAACCACTCGAAACTGCCTTCACCGACCAAGTTTATGACACTTTATTCTATTGACGAAACTCTAACTTTTGCGCATGGCCTTGACTAAACGCGGTCCGTGTCATAAGCCTGGTCGACCCACCAAAGCCCAAACAAAGGATATGTTGAAGGATGTTAAATATATTATTTTATAAATAATTTTAAGGAATTTCACAGAATATTCTGCTACATTAAATTCTGCTGCACAAATTACTGATGTCAAATGCTTAGAAAAATGCTAAGGCAACAACTCTTGATAGCAATACCTCGGACTACAGGAATCGACGTATAACATTTCACGGTAAATAATAACGATGATAATAACATTATGCACTTACCTAATTGGTACAACTCTTGCGCCAGATCCTTCAATTAATTTTACGTATGATGCAGCGATGTAAGCATTATAATCACGATATCTTGAACTCATAACATGGCTTAGTTCTTGCGACAGAATACCTTTTGAAAATAAAAGTAGGATATAATTACGTTCGGGATTACTGTAATAAAAAATAAGGTAGATATGAAATTTATTAACGGATAATGACATTTGTGTAATATTGTAGCATTACTGGTACCAGAAACATCTTTCGTTTTTCAGAGAAAATAAATATTAGGAGTGTTTAATATTTTATTTTACAAATAAATTAAAAGAATTTGTTTTCTATTAGAATGCTACGAGGAAAAATTCTAAGTTTGAAAGCAGAAATAAAAATAGAAATTGTTGTGTTGTCACAGGAAACCGTTCGTGGTATATCACGAGACGGAATCCGTTAACGGTTCAGCGTTGCACACGTCGTGGTTTGCACACGGCGTGCAATCGCCCTTTTCGGTTAGGGCGATCGTCGATTGTTAAATCGAACCGTTCTTAAGACGAGCACCGTGCCGTGCGTTCATCAGATCGTCGCGAGTTCGCGTCCAGACACAACGTAACAGATCATTATGTGTTTCACCTTATACAATAAAGTCTTCTGCTCGTTATCGTTATATGTGCCTATACTTTCGACCACAGTGCATCTCCTATTACTATCCAATTAACAATATGTTGGGCGCTCGATAATTTTAAACTTTAACGAACAGTATCACTCACATCGCAGTATCTATATTCCGCAGGAATATAGATTTAAGAAACAAGTACAAAAATAGAAATATATATAGCGGCCCAAGAATTCAAAAGCGACAAAAAATTGTAATAAATCTTATAATTTAAATTGTGTGTAAAAAATGAAACATAAAATACCGTCGATAGCATAACAATTGATGTATCTCTTCCCCTTTTTTCTCTCATTATCTTCTCTTTAATAACCTACTGCTAAATATCTACTAAATTCCTAATGATAAAAATCATTTTCAACATCTGTTTTTAGTTTACCAGCGTCTTATAATTTTCCCCCTTTTTTTTCTTTCTTCTTGGTTACTCTAGTATAGTTTTTGTTTTGCCTTTTCTATACTAATGTGATGCGCAACAGATTAAGTTCCTGTTTCTGACTTTAGCTAAGTTTATTAATCTGCATTAAATGCAATACATATAATCCATACCGAAGACGACGCGTACTCAAGTAGACTCTTTAGTCTGTAAAAACTTATTTTCTTTAAGTCATATCTTTTCTATTTCTATATGTTTAACACGTTTACTATGATACAAATTCAGGCCCATCGCGAACGTGTTAAGGATTCTTTGTTACATTGTTGTTTCTGTTTGTTTTTAATACTGTAAAGCGATGTAAATTATAAAATGAAACAGTTATTTAATCATTTCATTATAAAAGAAATGTAATTCGTATGGGCGGTACTGTTGGTACATTATAAACATTTACAAATCAATAGCATCGTTAAATGGCAAAGTTTCTAAAAGGAAATTTTGCTTTGTAAGCTTCTTCACAGAAACATCAATGCCTCGGCTTATCTGCAAAAGGCTTTCTCATGATCTTATTCTATTTCTCGTAATCACTGGCAACCTATTGGTATCATTGTATCGCATCGGCATCGTTCATGATCCCAAATGCCAGTGCGGCGATGTCACTTAAAATGTAAACCATATTGTGTGGCGAGTATTTTATTTTTATCTCTCAATACTTAGAGATAATAAAACAACACCAAAAAATCAAGCTACATCTTCCTCTAAACATAAATATTGTAATTTCTAAACCTAATATTCCAACTATTGTAATTTTTGTCGAGGATGGTTAACAAAGTTACGAGCACCAATAAAAATACAACCACTTCCACTAGTATCTTTATTAATTGCTTATCGACCTATACCTTTTGTCCACGCGTGCACGCTTTCTTTCCGATCTTTTACGTTCCTCCCCGTTCATTCCTTTGTTTTTCCTACTCATCAGTTGTCTCTCCTCGGCTATTCTCGCCCGTCTTCGGACGTTTTCGCTTTCTACAGCACACACACACACGCACGCGCATGCATACACTATTTCTTACACTAGCTTGCGTAATTCTACAACCGTTTAGCTTTTAACTCTGAATGTAAATTTGTCATTTCTATATTATTCCTGTACAGCAGAAATAAACCTTGTATGATCACTTAAATTAATAAAAAGAAGAAAATGTGAATAGGAGAAGGACACAGCGCTCTTTGAAAATTTAATATCTTTAGTTGTTTATGAGATATTCCGGATTTCCTGATAAAACGGACACTCTGTATAAGAATACAGTAAATAGAATTTTTTCTCGTGCATGTGAGAAATTGAACTGATATCTTTGCAGACAGACGGTTCTATTAATTTAGAAACTGATACTTACCGATTATCGGTTTATTATTCACACCGTCCACACAACATCTCACAAAAGAACTGAATGTGAATGTTAACAGAATAATAAGCGCTGGTGTCATTGTCGACATTTTGAGACGTATAAACTTCAGCAAGAACAGTGACTGCACTATATGATAATACTGAATGGTGAATACAGTGATGCCAGAAAAGCACCGTCGGGTGCACACCCACACATGCTAGATACGCGTACGTGAGCTCGTGGAGTTTCGGAAAGACGACAAAGGCAAACTGACGCATACCCTCTTTCTCGATTCTCCGAAGCTGCCCGAAGTAATTTCGGACCGCTTCGTGGGAGTCGAGAGAGAAAGGCTCACATTTGCCTTCTCGCTCTTAACAACTGAAATCCGACCTCCCGTCAACGGCATACGATTTGGATTCTCGAGCCGAGATTCTCGACTGCCCAGGCATTTTTACTTTCCGACCTATGTAGGCGCACATAAGCAAAGTACCCATAATGAAAAAAAAATGTTGTAAAATTTATTTTACGGAAATACACGTTTTAAGACCTCCTGATCATATTTTAATTATTGAAAAAAAAGAAATTTTTTTTTATTACCATGTATGAGCACACATATGTATATTATTAATACGATTGAGTATAAATAGCTAAATGAATTTAAATGAAACTTTACATTTAAGTTTTATGTTCTCATTTCAAAGTCCGGTTAGACTTTGACTATAATCAGTCCATGGATAATAATGATTATACCTCTTGTTTCACAGTTGTTCCGATATATGTATAGGCATAATGTATAAAAAATCTTTTAAATGTTTCATATAAATCTTAGGACGAATTAAATTTTATATATGTTAGACAGACGCGTAGAATGGAATTTGGAATTAAGAAATACGCAGGGTATTCGTATACATGCTTTATTCCCGTTCTTTCAGCGTCGGAAAAACAAATGAGCCGGTCCTGGGCCTAGACCCTCGCCTTTGTCGTCAGCCTTCTCCCCCATCGGTAGGGGTGGGAGTGTTGACGGACGAAGGCCAGACGCGGTCCCTTGCCAGCGCCTCGGCTTGGGCCTCGCCTTTTCCCGACGCCTTACATATAAAAAAAATTATATAAACTTTTTCTCTATCTTCTCTAGAAAAGAAAAAATTAAATGAAATCTTATACATTACATGCTTACTTAAATCGCATTGAAAACGAATACCACAAATGTTTTAGAATAATGTGCAAAATGTGATTGCGATTTTCGCTAAGACAAATTGAAATCTCGGTTCTAACAAGGAAAAGTTGGAATGGTACCCGATTTTGGGTTAGGTTTTACTTTGAGATATTATTAAAGTTATTACAGATACTTATCTTCAGAAATAGAAATACATTCAACAACCAGCGTGGCGTGAATGACAAGGTATTTGCCTGCAAGTTCCGAGCTTCTTCTGCTCTGCAGGTTCAAACCCTGCCAAAACAAATCCTTTTTTTTTATTTTTTCAATCATATTTTAATCGTACACTAAATGTGACATTATATTTTTGTCTGACCTTCGAATATTTTTTTTTAAAGTTGAATTTAACCAATTACATTTAACATATGTTATTTTCAATGTACGAAGTACATGAATCTGGATGGTACTTTTCGTAAAAACAGTGAAAACATAACAATTTCAAGCACCACCTACATCTAATGAAAGTTCTGTTTTCACAGAAATAACAAAATTTTGTATTTAACTCTGATGGAAAGGCCGCTTCATTTACATTGATAAAATGTGAACGATTTTCGGATAGTCGTACCTTGTAGCTCGTACTTTTTACCTTATACTTCAGGTAAAAAGGGATATAGCTGGGAAAAACAGTTTTATGACATTACCTGCTAACTTATGTTACTGTTCTACAATGAAACGCTATGTTTTGTACCTTTAAAAATATTCGACTATGTCCTTTTAAAATTTAAGATCCAACCCATACTTTGTATTAAACTGGCAAACGGGATCACTTTTCCTTTGTTTCTAGTTAGTTCTATTTAGTTCGTCATAACAAATTGATACGGTTATCTCAAAACAATCGAGGAAAATCATTATTAATTAATTTCTGCAATTATTAATTCTACTGTTTTGTTTATGTTATAAAAGTAAGAACTCTTCTTATTGAAAAATACCACAGCGTGCACAATACTGGTAAAGAGTGGAATCTCATTTTAATTTATTAATTTTCAATCTTAAAGTATTTTGATTTTCAAAAATCGTATTAATAATATACATATGTGTGCTCATACATGGGAATAAAAAAAAATTTCTTTTTTTTCAATAATTAAAATATGATCAGGAGGTCTTAAAACGTGTATTTCCGTAAAATAAATTTTACAACATTTTTTTTTCATTATGGGTACTTTGCTTATGTGCGCCTACATAGGTCGGAAAGGAAAAATGCCTGGGCAGTCGAGAATCTCGGCTCGAGAATCCAAATCGTATGCCGTTGACGGGAGGTCGGATTTCAGTTGTTAAGAGCGAGAAGGCAAATGTGAGCCTTTCTCTCTCGACTCCCACGAAGCGGTCCGAAATTACTTCGGGCAGCTTCGGAGAATCGAGAAAGAGGGCATGCGTCAGTTTGCCTTTGTCGTCTTTCCGAAACTCCACGAGCTCACGTACGCGTATCTAGCATGTGTGGGTGTGCACCCGACGGTGCTTTTCTGGCATCACTGGGTGAATACTTATAACAGTAAAGTGTTGTGTATGTTCGTGTAATCTGTTGATAAGACTTGATAAATATTGATATCTCTTAACCCGACGGAGGTCCGGTCTTGAAAGTTATAAAACTTTTCTACGAGCTCGCGGTGTATTTGATAGATACAGTTACTCAACACTGCGAAACAAGTCAGCAAAAATGAAAAAGAGTTTATTTTCATAAACATACATGAAGTTACAAATTTGTTTAACATAAATTAGGGAGAATTTTTAGTCGATGGATTTTTATTATTGCCATAACAGTTGTCACAAATAGTATTCCCACACAATAATTTTCGTCCACGTCTAATTGTAAGTAGAGAAGATACATCGCGATTAATAATACAGTGAGTGTGTGTTTATTAACCAAACACTAATATTATGTTAATAATATTATACACTAATCTTATTAAATGGCACTTATTGTTAGAAACGTTGAAGTAAATAAATGCCTGAAGCGGGCCATGTGCTTCTCCTTGGCGCGTTTCCCTCTCTTAACGGAAGATCGGCCAGGATACTTGGAAAAAGGAGGGCCCTACTGTCAAGGGTGCCCTCACGACCCTGGTTTTCTGTCAGGGTACAGAATTGTATTGGCTTTGGCCATGAACAGACACAGAATACAGTTTTAGAATGTCCACATCGTGTCAATTTGATCAAAACGCCCGACCGCTATCCTGACCTTAATAGACCTTTTCTTACATTATCTTCTTATTAAAAAAAGTCTCAACTTCGCCTTCTAGCATGAATTGTACTCTAGGTATAAACCAGTAATTTGTGTAGCAAGATTTAATGTAGAAGAATTCAATGTAGCAGAACATTCTGTGAAATTCCTTAAAATTATTTATAAAATGATGTATTTAACATCCTTCAACATATCCTTTATAGGATTGGACAAGATACCTGGGCCCAGTGTGGCCAGATCGGGTATAATTGAGTGCATCGAAATCGACAATAGTGACGACGAACTTCCTTAGCGTTTAAACGATCAAGAAACTAGCACTGGCCTGCCGCAACCGTCCGCGCGAACGCAGCTGTTTAGTGGGTTGTCATTCTACAGGCGGAACTTTAAACGTTAATAACTTTGTAATGAAACCTCCATCAACTAATTGATATACTTGATTTTCGTCTTATTTTGGCCTCTACTATCGCTCATTAAAATTTTTGCCATAGGTAGCCGAACACCCTGTATAGGGTGTTCACTGACTCATCAACGCCCAGACTAAGCCTTTGGACATAAAAAGCTGAAGGTTTGCACAGAGGTTTCCTTTACGATGTATATAAGAAATAAGAAAGGATATTCCGAAATTCAACCCCCAAGGGAGTGGAAAGGGACTGCAACGTTTGTATAAGAAATATTTTATTTGTGGTCGGATTTACTTGAAACTTGGTCTTAATGCTCTTTGACATAATTAATCAAACACCTGTTTCGGCATATTAAAAAATTCTACCCTTGGAGGGGTAAAAGGGGGTTGCAACCTTTGTATGGGACATATTTTGTTCATTGTCGGACTTGCTTCATACTTGGTCTTAATACTCTTTAATATAATTAATCAAACACTTTGAAGGGATTAGGCGTGTTGGTATTATACAATCACAGCGTTCACTTTTTGAAGTTCTTTATTTCTGCACGTCGTTCTCGAGCAACGGTTTCGAGAGAACTCTGGTCTTTCTTTTCATATATATTTTTACGTGGCTGTCGCTGTTTTCTTTGGCCAACCCCCTAAAAGGTGGGGTTAACCAATTAGCGACTTAGAACTCCGCCAAATCGTACCGTCCCCCTTCTTGTGCTCGCAGCGCGCTTTCTTGACACGGGGGTGCGATTTGACGATGGTTGCGCTTGCTGGTGAAGGTGGCAACGCCGCGAAATTTCCCAGGGTCCTAGGTTGGCAGCGTGACCAGCCGATGGTCGCTTGTCCTTGCATAGAAGACTCTTGGGGAAACTCAGGGTTTATAACACTAGCGATTCACCATCGAGGCCGTTTAACAAATTCTTACGACGGACATGCTTTTTACAAATTTTAATTGCAGAAACGGCTTTCTCAAAGATAGCTTCGCTGTCGTCCATGTCATAAACCGTGCTAGCCGTTTGCATGTCCTATGCCTTTTTATACTTGTACGGCTAGCCGCTATAACTTATTCCGGTTTTTTTAAAAATTCAACCTCTGAAGGGGTGAAAAGGGGTTGTAAAATTTGTATGAGGAATACTTTATTTCTGGTCGGGTTTGCTTCAAACTTGGTCTTATGCTCTTTGATATAATTAATGTAGGCTCCCACTATGTTCGTGGAGCCGTTTATTTAGTAAATAGAAGTTCAATACTATTTACAAACACCTGAATTTATTTACAAATATGTACATATGTTACCAGTGTAATTTCAATGTTCTTAGTTCGATTCTTATGGAGTTCTTAAGATGTTCTAAATGTTTTTGAAGTGTTCTAATTTGGAAAGTCCAATGCC